CGCACAGAAATGGGTTTCATTTGTTGGTGGCAACGCAGGATCTCGAGTCGCGTACGGCTGGAAGCTTGCCTGCTGTTTTCGTTCGCCACGTCTTGACGGGCAGCGCATCCTGTGCCAAGACGGGTCCTGGTCGCCTGCGGAGATTATATATCGTCGCGGGGTACGCGAGATGGATGGCCGCGAAAACAGCCCCATCATCGAGGAGGATTGCAAGGGTTGGTCCGCGTCGTCGCGTCTAAGGAGGAGACGGCTTGCAACGCGCCGATCGCAGTTGATCCGGAAATCCGAATTTTTCCAACCTCGCACATAAAGTCCTCCCCCGTCTTCGCCAGCCTCACAAGGGCTTTTCTTTTCCTCCTCCTCTCTCGTGTCTCGAGGCCTCCTCCGCTCTCCTAGGCCACACTCTACCTCCTGCACACTGCTACGGCCTCGTCGCGTTTCTGCGCTCAACAGCGCACCTGTCAGTCTTTACCGGCCTTCGCCACCCTACCTTCCAGTTCTACTTTTCCTGGCCCTTTCTTCGGCCTCATCTCATTAACAATGTTTCGCCATTTGTCGTGTGCTTCTTTCTCCCTCCTAGCCCTCACCGCATCCCCTCTGGTCAGCGCCGCCGCTGCATCAACCCCAGGTCAGCCTGCGCGCCAAAACGCGCCGATCGGCCAGTTCGAGATCCTCGGAGACAGTATCGTCAGTGCACAGCAGGTGAGCATCGTGCTTCGTCGTGTTTCTTGGATGTTCGTCGTGCAAAGGCGGACATGTCCTCGCGTTCTCTGCTGGTCGTTGGTGCTACGGAGCCTCGCGGGAAGGGTACGGGCTACGACCGCCGCGGCGCTATTTATGCTCTCAGACGGTTTATGCGTGCGCCCGGGGTGCTTTGCCTGTGGTATTGCACGCGTTTCACGAGGGGCTATCCACTCTACAAAATGTTCAACGCACCCTAGTTTANNTCTACGCGAGCTCCGATGCGCTTGCGCGCACGCAGATCGTGGATTTACTTCCGTCACCGCTCGGATGCATCTCCCCTCGCGATCTCCTTGCTAACTTTGCCTGCCTTGCCTTCCTCAGCTCTTCTTGGGCACCCCCAATAAGGTGTATGTCATTGACAAGACAGAGGGTAACCCTGACCATCCTCAAATCGGTGATCATCCAGCATGGGCTTCCGGTGAGTTTGCATATGTTTCGCTTCGGGCGCCCAACTGACGAGCCTTGTAGAATATGATGTCAACTCGAACAACGGTCGTGCCATGGACATCGTTACTAACTCATTCTGCGCAGTACGTCTTTCCAAATCTCTTTGTGTATATGTGCTGATCTGTGACACAGGGTGGCAACGTTCTTGGTAACGGAACGTGGCTGAATGCAGGCGGAAACCAAGCAGTCACATACGGCGGTCAAACAGCGTCAAGCCAGACTGGCGGAGGTCCATATGATGACCCCGACGGTGGACAATCGTGAGTCGTTTGCATTGTCTACTCTCCCTATTGACTCCTGCTGACATCATTTTTATCAGGCTGAGGTCGGTTTTTACTCCCATTGCCAATTGCTAGTGGATACTGACCGCGCAATTGATCAGGCTTTTGGATCCTTGTGATGATGGGAACTGCAACTGGTCGATCTATGGCGACATGACAACCCGTCGTTGGTACCCCACTTTGTAAGTACAGGAGAGCTGGATAGTCGTGATTGCGTCTGACCTGTGCGCCGCTCTAGGGAAACTTTGGAGGATGGTAGCATCATCATCGTATGTGTTCTCATGACTTGGGGATGACCCTTTACTCAAATCCTTGCTCTAGATCGGTGGCGATATGTGGGGTGGTTTCGTAAACGATGCTGGTCAGACAAACCCCACGTACGAGTTCTTCCCTTCGACGGGTGGTGCTCCCATTGGGTCTCCTCTCCTCGACCGCACGTTGCCCGCAAACTTGTTCCCCCTCACATGGCTTCTTCCATCGGGCAAGCTCTTCATGCAAGCGAACTGGGGAACTGCCATTCTGGACTACAAGGCGCAGCAAGAGTTCCAGCTGCCAGACATGCTTCACGCTGTGCGGACTTATCCCGCCAGTGCTGGAACTGCCATGTTGCCTCTGACGCCCGCCAACAACTGGACTGCGACCATCCTGTTCTGCGGTGGTACCAACCTCCAGCCAGACCAGTGGAAGACCAACTGGAACATCGCTGCTTTCCCTGCGTCCTCGTCTTGCGTCAACATCACTCCCGATGTTTCGCAGAACTACAACGAGGACGATGACATGCTTGAGGCTCGTTCGATGATGAACTTGGTCTACCTCCCCGACGGCAGGCTCTTCGGGGTCAACGGAGCTGGTACTGGTGTTGCAGGTTACGGTAACGACTCCTGGGCCGTCGGCCAGTCGTACGCTGACAATGCGGTCATGACCCCCGCCATCTACGACCCCTCGGCTCCCCAGGGCAAGAGGTGGAGCCGTGATGGTCTTTCCGCATCCACCGTTCCTCGCATGTACCACTCGTCCGCTATCATTCTTCCCGATGGTATGCTCGTACTTCTGAGTTATAGGTTGAGTGTTCTAACTCCGATCTTTTTGAAGGTGCTGTCATGGTCACTGGCTCGAACCCCAACTCGGATTACAACGTCGGCCCCGACGTCAAGTTCCCCACCGAGTACCGCGTCGAGAAGTTCTACCCGTCGTACTACAACCAGCGCAGGCCTGAGCCCCAGGGTCTTCCTTCCACCTTGACTTACGGTGGCGCGTACTTCAACGTCACTGTCTCCAAGGACGATCTCTTTGGTAACACCGGCAACGCTAACAACACGAAGGTCGTCATCGTCCGCGGTGGTTTCTCAACACACGCTATGGTGAGTGTCTCGTAGGGTCATTCCAGCAGACCTTGACTCACAATGCTTTCAGAACATGGGTCAGCGTTATCTTCAGCTGGAGAACTCTTACACCATCAACCTCGACGGTACCGCGACTCTCCATGTCAGCCAAGTCCCCCCTAACCCCGCCATCCTGGCACCTGGCCCCGCACGTAAGTTCTACCGATCCACATACTAATTGACACCCTGTTGACCAGATCTGTCCATCATAACAGTGCTCTTCGTCGTTGTCAACGGCGTCCCCTCAATCGGCGTGCAAGTGATGATCGGTTCCGGCCAACTCGGAACCCAGAAAACACTCGCCGTCGCTCCCCTCCCCGCTGCGGGCTCCGTGTCGGCGCCCAGCCAGGCATCGAACCCACCAGGTTCGAACAGCCAGGCTGACGCCAGCGATGCGCTTTCTCTCTTCCGTTCCTCTTCATCAGACTCTTTCTTGCTTCCTCTCTTGACTCTGGCAGTATGGACCCTTGGTACTTTTATTCTCTGAGAACTTTTTGCTTCTCCTCTACTCTTTACGATTTTTCACGGACAGTTTCCTTACGCCTTCACGACAGTTTTGTGTGCGCATGTAAGACAATCCCTTCATTTATGTTGCCTATATGTATTCCCCACACATAACCACGGACTCCATAACATAGGCATTTGGACTTGACTTTTTTTGACATCACCACGTACATAATCGTACACCACCACCACCACCGTACATAGCATCTTTGCACATTTATTGGGACCATTGGGCGCGATGAAGACTACTACTTATCTACTAGAACCATACAGTATATTCGGTGTAGATATCATGTCAGCGGCGTAGATCGCATTGGTCCGGACAATCTTCAACATTCTGTCACTCAGTATTTATCTCTCATCCTCGCTTTGTGTGAAGTGGACCTCTATGGACCCTCGTCGCGGTTCGCAACTTCAAGTTGGTGCTCGCTTGGTTCGTCTGCAAGTGCACGCCGTCGTGATTTGTTTCAAATCCGTTCGCATTCCATGTTCATACCCGTAGCAAATACACACCGCAGTCATTCTTCTTTCGCTTACATCTTACAATCTGCCCTTCATCTTCTCTTGCGTCTGAGCCAAATCCTCCTTGGTGGCCTGACGAGCAGGCCAGTTGTCATCAATAGTGAGAACTAATCCGTCAGTAGCCGTATTTTTAGGGATGACGTGGAAGTGCACATGGTCGACGTGCTGGAAGGCAAGCTTTCCATTGTTCTACAAAACAACGACGATATTGCAATGGCGTGAGTGAATGCGTCGCTGAGGAAGGCGAGTACATACCTGGAGGATGTTGTACTGCTCCGCACCAGTAGCCTTGGCTACCTTCTTGATGACCGGGCCAATGTCACGAAGATACTCGTCTGGCATGTCCTGAAGTGTCTTCGCGTGGTCTACATATCCGATGTTGGAGGTCTCTTCTTCCAGAGATGGCACAAACATGGACTCACATTTCGGAATCACCTGCGTGTGTCCCTCCGACACAGGTGAGATGTCCAAGAACGCGAGACTGTGGCGTAACATCAATTAGCCTCGTACGCAAACCAGAACGAGGTTTGGTACTCACGAGTGCTCGGTCTCATAGACCTTGAAGCTAGGAATAGCTCCTATAACTCATATGAGCATGTACTGTCGCAGTCACATTCTGACCTGGGAGGTACTCAACCCGTCGCGATACCGCAAAACAGGCATCTGCAATAGATCGCGGCGATGATCAGCGATGTTCGCATCGATTATCAGCAATACACACGTACTTGTCATCGAAGTTGGACATGGTTGAAGATCGAGCAAGAGGTTAGGTCAAAGCAGAGAGCGTCTTGCTATCGGAAAGGGATGGCTGCACTGGGCAGAGTCTTATGTATGGGCGTGTCTCTAAGGGCAATCGCCGCCGTCACGACCTCGGACAAGCCCACCTGAAACAGCCTATAGTGTTTCATCAGAGTGTCGTACTTATTCTCATTCTGAAGGTGTTTCTAGTCGTCTGCCAAGAATGAAACGCGCGCGCTACCGGCGATGCGGATTCCAGCGATTCGGAGACTGTCATTCGCGCAGAGCAAGAGGCGATTGTCTAATAGAACTCGAGTGGTGGTCTGTTCGTTCTTGTCCAAGAGTCATGGAGCCGGCGAGAGAAAAAGAGAGGAGAAAAAAGTGATTCGGACCAGACTCGAACTGATGACCGCCTGTGTGTTAGACAGAAGTGATAACCAACTACACCACCGAACCGCGAATAGTGATTGCCATCAATGCGTGTCGAGCTCGTGCCATCAGCCGTGCAGCTCAGTAACGACTCGGAAACTTTCAATGAATATTCTTGGTCGCGTCCCGTCACGCCAGTAAGTACTGATTTTATGTTCTCCACAGTGAGATGTTAATCTCACATATATTATTGCGTTGCCAGGGGATCGGCCCAATTTCATACCACCGTTGCCATTACGATGCATCGTTGTTCAGATCGACCGTCGCATTGATCTGTCATTGTTCAAGACAATGAAAAGACAAAGGTGTTGAGGCCGAGGATCAAATTAGATCTGAGTGGCCCAAGCTCGCATAGTCGACGTTGCATATATTTCAGGAAGCAGGCAGTTCGAGCCCTGGCGATGTTGACCGACGTCATTCCTCGAGCTGTGAGTACTTTTCCGAGTCTATCCTCAGCCTCGTCAGTCATCTCAAGCCACTGACTCACCTGATCGCTGCTGTAGTGAGCTGGCCACTCGCAAGAACGTGTATACACAGTCCCTACAGCCGAATTACCATGCCCCGAGCCTCTTCTTCTTCCGAAGCACCTCGACTTCCCAAAGAGCACCGACGCACCGTTCGTGGTACGCCAAGCACTAATGGTAGTCATCGAGGTCAATTAAGCCGTAAAGCCCATAGTGGCCACGGTGCTCACTCCCGAACTCCAAGCAGTGCTACCAGCGCGGACGCAGGTACAGGCACAGGTCCTAAGGTGGTGGTACCATCGCAAAGCTCCACAGGCCACGCCGTGGCTCTTCCCGCGAGCTCGCTCTTCATCACCACTCAGCCCACCGAATCCATCCACTCCGAGTTTCACTGGGCTCTGGTGGTCACCGATGACGCGGGCAACGCCACTCGATACACCTGGAGTAAACGGCGACCGGGTGTTAACAAGCTGCCCCTCCCCTGGGCATTTCGTCAGCGTCCCAGTAGGTTACGCACCCAAATCTCCCGAGCACGGGATCCTCCCAGCGCAAGTGGTCAACATCCAACCCCTGCTCCCGAGACCGTGTAGTATCACCAACGGACGCGTCAATCTTGCGTACTTCCGTGTCGACGGCTACTTCGCGCCTTTTTGCGTCGATGAGGCGGGCAACCCTTGTTTCGATGCTTTGTGCCACGCGATATACCCCATGAGCTTCGTCTCCACTGAGTTCAATCGGCATGCGGGTATTACGGGACAAAACTGGATCACTCAAGTCCTGGGGAGATTGAAGGCGATGGGATGTGTGGTACGCGCGGAGGGGAAAGCGGTTGCAACTTTGGAAGCAGACGTGTTGGAAAGGAGTCGGAAGATGGAGAGGGAGTATGATCCTGATCTACGAGAGTGGGAGACCGTTGTAGTGGACGTTTGACTGGAATTCATAGCGATATTTCAATTGTAGCACTATAATACACCGATTACATGGACATCGTACTGCTAGATCTACACACTAAAATACACAGGGTTGGGTATACTTGGCGGGTTTAATAGATGAGGCTAAAGAAGGGGCATGTCCGAAAGTCCAACACAATCATAATCTACAAATTAACCGTGTATCCAAAGAGAAGTAAAGGGAGGTGAAGCCTGGTATGGTTGAATTCATCATGGGGGTATTTAGACTTTCAAAACCTTGACGTCGGCTCCTTGAGTAAGAGCTCGACTGTATGGACAGAACTACAGCAAGGCGAAGTATTGGTATCGTGTACAGTGAGATAAAGCGTTCGTCATTTACTCACCTCATGCGCGGCGCTGATGATAGCGTCATCGTCGCAACCTTCTACGGTGAGTTCAACACGGAGACCGAAGCCGTCCATATTGGGATCTTCAGGGTGACCGAGGAACACAGAAGCGTTGACCTTCGCGAGGTCAGCCATGTCCCTCTTATCCGCACGAGATGCAGCGAGCTGCAGAGCACCCAGGAAACACGCTGCAGTGCAAGGTAATTAGCACCGAAAAGGAGGTATGCCATAGGATGAGACACGCACATGAGTATCCCATGGCGAAGAGCTGCTCGGGATTTTGGCCTTCGCCTTTACCACCAGCGGCCTTCGGAAGATCCATGGTCATCTTCATAGGCATGTCGCCAGTAGATTCAACGATCCCTCGGCGGCCTGCACCTGAAGCAGTGGCTTTGGCAAAGTACTAAAATTATCGAGTGAGACGCGTGTCGGTGGAGGCATGAACGTAGGCAGAAACGTACGACGTGATCTTTGATGTTGACGACGCTAGCACCGCGGCCGATGAGATGGTTGGGATAGCGCGAGTGAGAGCCTGTTTTCAAGACGGCGTCTTTCATCATGGAGGCGTTCATGGCACGACCGGCAAGAGGTCGGCAGAGAATCTGAGCGGGATGCATAGTAGTGGAGTGGGAGTCAAGGAACGAAGTAGGATATGCAACGATAGTAGTCAAGGGTGCAACGAAGAGCGGTCGCGGTCGCAGTACAAGGTATGAGTGGGGCAGGGGTAGTGGGGAAGAGTTGACGTGACTGTGAGGTGGTTGCAGAAGGCACTCGGAACGAAGGTCAATATATAGATGTAGGATGGGAGTAGGTTGCCGCAAGCCGCAAGGTATGATGCAACGATTACCTCGCCAGTTACCTGGTCGACTGCGTGTTCACTCCAAGAGTGCGTGATTCAGGGCAGAGGGATACGCCAAGGGCAGCCATCCGAAAAATGCACAGCAAGATATCCACTGAATCTCAAATGCAACCCAAAGCTAGCCGAGAGTGAGGAGTGGAGGCGGCGCCGGCGGGCGCAGGGACTCCAAGGATTGTTCGACACATTGTTCGGAGAAGTATCGGGGTGATGACGTGGTACAAACTTGTGTTTTGTTTTGTTGCCTTCTCAAAAGTCAACAGAAGAGACCTGGAAGAGACTGTACCATCGCAGAGGAGATTCTGAGAGGTGATGGAAGCCCCGAAGGAGTATGGCCAACAAGGAAGTGTTTTGACCAGATGTTGGCCAACTTCCACAGGACGCGTCCAGAAGGTAGCAGTAAGCGGCATGTGTCACATTTTCCCACGCGCCAGCTTCGCGCGTCTGACACCGGTCTGTCTCTGAAATTACCTTGACCAAGTCTCTCAAGGAGCGAATCGAAACCACACCCGCCTCTCACACTCTCCGTTCAAAGCACTCGAATGGCCACTATTCATCCATCACGTCTTGCCTTGGTACCCCACCAGCCCGCTGGCTCTTCGTCATATTCACGGGATAGGCAACGCGGTCGATCGCCTTCACCAAAGCCTTCTCACCGTCGTTCTCCCTCTCCATATCGCTCCAAAGACAGGTCGCCTGACAGAAGACATCGAGATAGAGAACGAGGCAGGGATGATAGGGACAGGCATCGTGGGCGTGTCAGGGAAAGAGAACCGAGTGCCGACAGGCAACGGCGGAGTCGTGACAGAGATGACGGAAGGGAGAGCGGGAGGACGAGGCGGGCGAGTCCCGAGTATGGCGACTATGGGAGACCTAGCTCGCCGAAACGAGAGGGTGGCGATGGTGCAGAAGGACAGGCACCTTGGAGGAAAGAGGAGAACATGGTCCGAGGGCGCGGTCAGAACGGGTACAGTGGTGGAGGTGGAGGTGCTGAGTTCATGGACAGGTGCGTGCTCATTATTGGTAGCATTTGAGCTCCATTGAATGTTGCCTATGCAGTCGACGAGAACAACGAGACAAGAGCACGCTCAGTATATGGCCCCCATCACCGAAGGCACCTACACGATCGTATGTCTACCCATGCGCATTCAATACCACACGTTTGTACTGATGTGACTCGTGTGCAGGTCTACAAGTCCAGATCCTAAGAGGTCCAAAAAGTCACGCAAACACAGACGTTCTCCATCACCGTCTTCCTCGTCTGATTCGGAAGACGAACGCAGACGTCGGGAGAAGAAAGAGCGGAAACGCGCTCGCAAGGATGAGAAGAAGCGAAAGCCCAAAGATAAAGACAGGCGCAGGTCAGTTTCCGCCGGCCGCTACAGTGACGAAGAACGTGACAGGAGGGATCGACGACCGAGAAGTAGGAGCAGAGACCGAAGGGAACGCCGTAGCGAGACTCGTACACGGAGCCCCGAGCTGCGCCCACCGTCCAGCGAAGTGGAGATGGAAGACGAGTGGGTGGAGGCACCGGCTACGTCTGCCTTACTCGCTCCTTCTGCTTCCAGCGAGGTGCAGACCAATGGGGCTAACAATTCCATGCCGCCGCCACCCGTACCAGCCGCAAAGGTCTCCTCAACTACGGCTGCGGACGACGACTCGGACGACGACGAAGTGGGTCCTCAGCCGTTGAATCAGGTATCTACCTCCAAGAAGATCGACGAACGGCAATACGGTGGTGCCCTGCTTCGCGGTGAAGGTAGCGCCATGGCCGCCTTCTTGCAGGACGGCACGGACTCGCGTATCCCTCGTCGTGGTGAAATCGGCTTGTCGTCTGACGAGATTGCCACATACGAGTCGGTTGGATACGTTATGAGTGGAAGCAGGCATAGACGCATGAATGCCGTCCGTATGCGCAAGGAGAACCAGGTCATTAGCGCAGAAGAGAAGAGGGGTATTTTGAAGTTGCAGCAGGAGGAGAGGGAGCGCAGGGAGGCGATTTTGAGGGAGGAGTTCCAGTCGTTGGTGGATGACAAGCTCAAGACGCAGGGCAAGTAAATGGATGTACATTTCGATATACTCATGTCTTTCATATCACCGTAATGCTCGGCCGTACTAGGTTCAACGCCTCTGGATGTGCTCATCTGTCTAAGTCGTATCTGTCCAAGTTGTGCTTCCAGATCCGATACATTGGCAATGGTCTCTGCATGCTAGTAGTATAGGCGATACAGTATGCGACGAGAGATTATCTCGTTTTACAGCTCCTCGTGTGTGGTCTTGCCATTGACATCCCATCCACCAGCTCCGTCTCGAAGACCAACGCAGCATTGGCTGGTATAAGTCCACCCGCACCACGAGCACCTTCACGCCAACGTCAAAACACGAACGATTGCAGAGAGGAAGCAAGAAC